GAGGTTGAGGAGACTGTGAGTGAGTTATCTAGGTAAAAAGGAGGAGTAATGGTGGTACACGGCAGCCAAACACGCAAGTCAATGGTAACGGCTCCAGGTTCAAGAAATAGTGAATAGGAAGAAAGATAAATGCTTAGAGGATGTACAATGCTTGGTTTGAGGATGATGGATTGGTGAGGTAAGGATACAACTCCATAGTCTGTGTATGATAGGAGTTGGCTGATATTGATCCGTCTTTGGATAGAGTCGAGAGTATACAATGAGTGTGTGTCATCGAAAGCTTTCTAGGTATGAAAGTTTGAGCGATCGTGATGAGTTGGTCGTATAAAGGCGGCGGGTCGAAGGCGTGGCGGGTTTGGTTGGTGGGAGGAAACCGTTCGATTGACTTTCTTTAAAGGCAAGATAATTACTCGAGATTTTTTTCATCGAGACATAGAAAAGAGTGAAGAGGAATCACGCTCGGTCCTTGACACTTCCCATTCTGGTGTGATGAGGTGCACCAGAGCTAGAGCCAATGTTGCCAAAATCGGCACTGCGAGGGCTGACGTCGTCGTCGGTATCATCGTAATAGTACGAGTTGTACGCTCCCGGGTCTAACCGATGCTCGTGGACTCGAGTGACCTTCGATATTGAAGTGGGCTCTGGAGTCGGAGGGAGTGGTCGGACGCGCTGGGAAGGCGACTGAGCGCGAGAATAAGGATGAGGTTCCTCTTCATACTCGTGGATTTGTTGTTGTTCTACTGGCGGAATCACAGGCTGAGGAGCGACCGTGGTGATAGGAGGCTGATACGAGAACGAGGCAGAGTCTTGAGGATTTTGGTAGAACGGAGGCTTGGGTGGGCGAGGATAAGTTTGTACAATTACACCAGGAGCGCTAGGCACGGTTGTACCCGCAGTCCGCACATTCGAAATCGAGTTTTGGCGGATGGCATGTCTCGTTCCAGTCGGGACATCGCCAAAGTCAAATCCGACCTTGCTCTCCCTTCGTACGGGGGCAAATGTCGAGTTGAAACTTTCTGCGCGCGTGTGCTGGGGTCTGTCGACGACCTGTGGTTGTACTGGTCGGGCACCTTCAAAGGAGCGCTTGGGCTCAAAGGCGATTCGGGTGCTGTCAAACGCAGCCGCAGGTTTCGAGTCGTATCCCGAGAAAGCAGTAGCTGGAGCAGCGGGTACATCAGCACCCGTAAAGCTGCTTCGGTTGCTGCTCTCCCTTCGTTCCTTGGCGAGGTCAAAGAACTTGTCGTCTGTCGCGTGGGTGTACTTGTCGATCTGGATTTGGATGGGGAGGGTACCAGTGTGGTTTCCGTTGATCGTGGTGATACCCACGGCGTTGCTTGGTCCTCGAGTGTGGCCAGTTCCACGGTTGGTGCTTTGCTCGGGGCGAGAGGACTTGCTGCGCGTGCGCGACTTGGAGTTGGAAGCGGAGCGGCGGTGCCATGGAGTGGGACCGAGACGACGAGTGCAGACGTAGATAACGGTGTTGGCAGTTCCCTGTAGTCGTGTTTTAGCATGAGGAAAAGCGTAAAGGAGAAGAGGACTGACCATCAACCACAAGAGACACATGAAGGCCAACATGGCGTTGAGACTGACGGTGAGGGACGAATCAACACGAGCAATGGCAATGGGCATGATGAGGACGAGGTAAACTTAGATGATTGTTAGCTAACGAATCTCTGGGCGTATCGGGGGTACACACCTGCAGGATACCAGAGCATCTTGACTGCCAAAGCCTTGAGCTGAACACCCTTTCCACTGACTTGATTAGGATTCATCGAGGCTTGCGTGGCGGCATGATGAGCAACAGTGGGTTGCCTGATGAGCCCACCCTCCTTGTGATGAGGCCCACCAACTGCCTTGGTACCACTGGAACGACCACGCTCGGTATTCTCAGGGGTCGAAAAGCTGCTGAGCTCGGGCTGGTGACCGTTGACATCGACACTCGCAATATCGATAACGTTGGCATGCTCTTCATAGATGGGCCTTTCCTTTCCCTCGGTGGACTTTCTGGTGACACTGCCAAGTCGGATGGAACCCGGTATCCGCCCAGCAATCGATCGCAAACCAAAACCGTTGCCAGCTGGGATCGCACCCGTGGATGGCTCTGAGGTGCTTTGGGTGCCGCCGGTCGGGTTGGAGGATTGGTTGGAACGATGAATACGGCCCCAGGAGAACTGGCCGACGAGGTCTCTGAAAAAGTTGGAACCGTTTTTGCGCGCCGGTGCCTTGAATCTCCACTTGTTTCCATCTACAACCAAGACACCAAACAAGACAAGGGCGACGAGGGCGTAGAGGATTGTGATAATGCCTCCAGAGATAAACATCTATAATTGAACGTGAGTAATTTATCCATCGGGTGTTGGTAGGGAACGGAGAGGAGGGGTGGGTCCAGATCGCGAGATGGGCAAAAATAGGAACACAAGCTTACAGGAAGATAGTGCAAATAGATCCTAGAATCCTTGTAGTTCGATGTTACGAAGCACCTATAATTGCAAAAGCGGAAAAACGAAAATCACGTTAACGAGGATTAATATAGTAGAAAGGGACGAGAAGAGGGGGGTATAGTTGTCACGTTCAAGAAGTCACCAGGGGCTTCTGGGGCGTCCCGACGGGGCCCAAGATTGAGTTGCCTCCTCAATTAGAGGTGGGCTTAGATCACGAAGCACCCAACGAAAAAGAAGATATGGGGAAAGAAGGTCGAATAATGGATTGAATACGTACCATGCTCCGGCAATCGAGTAGAATGGACCTTTGGCGGGGGTTTGAATGGCAAGTGGGCCGATGACGGCTGATAAGGAAGATTGTGGTTAAGAATCACGCTCCAAGATAAACACATGGGACTTACTGAGGATCACACAGAGTGTCCAACCAGTAGCGATGAGAAAGGCGACGGCAACTGTGGACATCCTTTTGCCTATCCGTCGGGGATCAACAAGCGCGGTAGAGAAGTTATGATCAGAAAGGGAAGCCGGTAAAAGGTTTGCCACACATACCGAGAACGACGGTCCAAAAAGTGTGAATGGAGATGACCACGTTCCAGAATGCCGTTCCATTGTCTCCAAAGAGGAGCATAGCAGCTTGAGCAGTGCATAGCGGCCCTTCAGTGATCCCGCTTCGCGATGCCCAGACTAACTGGAAGATTCCCGAAATGCCCTGGATAAAGTCGGACAAGAGGAGGCAAACAACGAATGCACTATAATTGATGGAATGCAATGTCAGCGAAACATGTTTTAGAGTGATTTTAATCGTATTATGAACGGGTGGGAGGGGGGTAGATAGATTGCAAATGCGTCAACGACTTTTTGGCCCGCCGGTGCTCGTCGTATATGGCAGTTGAACCCTTGTTATTTCTTGCCGATGCTCTATGTCC